TATATATATATATATATATATATATCAATGATCAAGTATTAATTAATTCTATAACAATAGGAATGTTATTGCGCCTTCTAATGTCCTTAGCCATCATTTTAGGTATCTTTGCTGCTGAAAAGAATCTTCTGTTCTGTAGTGATGTTCAGTAACTTTAGCTTTAGCTAAGCAAGTAATTAAGTTGAACTTTTTCCAAACCTCAACTCTGGGTCATTTCCAAATATCTAGATCCCGGTTTCTAAGTGAGTCTGACAAAATAGCAATCATCATCTGTGTAGTGCATAGGGAAATGCTGAGCTGTGAAGAGCAGTTCAGATGTTGCAATGCCTTTACATCTGCCAGATAGTGTACCCTGGCACAACATACTCTACGTTCTGTAAAAGTTATGTATAAGTAAATGCTGGGATCTGCTGTTCATGGAAAAATGGCACTTGGCTTGGCAAAGCCTACAGCCTCGCTGGAGATTAAGTGATCTCACTGAACAATTTTATGGCAGCCTGTCTGAGACTCTTCAGCTGGGACACTGCCTATTATTCCAACACTTGTATTCACTGGTAAAAATCATTGTGTCTCGGAAGGAAAGACGTTGACTGATAAATAGCTAAAGAGATGGACCAATATAAAAGTGCCAGATTAAAGTGACATTAAGGGCAAAAGTTCCCTCTCCCCACACTGCTAATGTAAGGACTTAACTTAAAGGATGCCTCTTAATCCGATCATTTTCTTCTTTCCTGTAGTTTTTAGATGTCCCTCCAGCGCTAGTGCGGGTCCCTGATCCAGCGCTGACTCCTCTATCCTACTCTCCTCTGATGTCCCATGGAGTCTGTGCGGGTGCACGCTGCTCCATAGACTTACCTTGTGTCTCTCCTCATCTCCCGGCCGAACATCTGAAGTGCGCATGCTCGGACGGGAGCATGTGGCGGAGACACAGGTAATTATTACACCTTTGAGTTTTTTGTTTTTTTTTATCGTTTTGCATATATCTATGGCTTCCTATCAGTAGCTATATGCAAAAAACAAGAAGGGTTTAATAACCCATTATGGAAATGTAATTTTTACTTAGTTTAGCTATGACCATTAGATTGAGCTGAGGAGCATAGGAAATAAATACTTATTACTGTTTTTAACAGTCTAAACACTGGCCATGATAATTGCATCATCTTTTATATTACTTGGGGCTTTCCACAGCAACCCATAAATGGACATACCATCCATAATCACCTTGTGGTCAGACACCATTATTCAGCAAGCCTCGGTTCTGCCATCCAAGGCAGCTTAAAGCAAACCTGTCCAAGACCAAGGAAATGCCAGTTCTTGACCCAATGGTAATGATTGGGCATAAGTACTTTGAAAATAGTATTGGACTGCTCTGAATGTTTTTTCTCTGAAGACTCATGGGACTGTTACAGTGCCACCATCATGGATTTTTCCAGATGAGCCAGATTTTTTTAATTGACTTTTCTTGAAGCAAGTCTGAACGTTCCCAGGCAAAGAGTGCCTGCATCCAGTCAGATGCATGCTCTTTTTGGGTATTCAGCAGTCTCTGGAACAGGGACTGCTGAATACAATAGCCCAGGAGGAGAAATTCCCTCACTGATGCTGTTTACAGTGGATGAGGGAATCCTGCAAAGTGTACGGCCAGCTTCAAAAAGATCAGTTACCATGATAGGTAAGGCTTACATTCCACAGTCTGTTAGGGAGATTGCACAAGATTATAAAAAGATTGACATGAAAAGGCAGCAGTTTCATAAATGGGTAGGGTAAAGATTGAGGTTAGCAGGTCAGGCTGACACTGTGACTTGAATGCAAGTCGCTGAGGCTGTAGATATTCCAGATTGATTTACTGCTCAGTGCTTGCATTGTTTGGAATCAGGGAGCACTTTGTTTGAGAGGTACTTTAATGCTTGTTAACCAAGTAATTAGTTTGATGTCCATAGCCTGGCCACAGGTTCACCTTAGGTTCAAACTATGCCTATAAATCATATTGCCATGGGTTCAGAAAAAAAGCAAAATATACTATCAATATAGCTGGCTTACCAATGTGCTTCCATCAGTCCAGCGGAAATCATTCTCAAACATCTTATCGTTCAGGCCAATCCACTGATAATCATGACCCAGGCCTTTTAGAGGAAGCATAAGATATAATGAGAATTAAATAAAGCATGATAAAGAAAATGATCAAGCATTATACAAAGTTTTAAAGTAGCACTCACGGTTCACAAAGTGCTGTTCTTCCTGTGACAAAATGCTGGTCAGGTGACCTCCTTGCACGCGACATTCTCTCTCAGCTGCATCCCAGGTGCGTCGGTGGGCAAAGTATTTATAGCACTGCCCTTGGAATTTGTGCCATCCATAGTCACAGATTTCTGTGTCTGTTTTAGCACAAAAAAAAATGATAACAAGATATTACCCTTTGAAGCAAACATTGTTAAACAGCAATGGATTGGTTATTTGGCATATAGTAGAACATAATTTTTAGTAACAGTGTTAGTGGATGCCTTTGAATCATAATGTATCTGTTAATTTGTCAAAATACAGTACTGTAACACATGACGACTGGCCATAAATTTTGACAAGGCTACGCTTTAATGTTTATTGCATCTCCAAGCGTAGCGGACTCACAAAGTGTGTATGATTCATTGCTGCATTCTAAGCATACACAAGTTAATTCTAATTTAGGAACTAGATATCAGTTAGTGTGCCAGCTACCTGGTTTATATAATATCTCACTTCCACCTTGTCAAAAGACTTGTCAACAGCCATAATCTATTTTAACATGACAACTAGTACATGCTACACAATTTGCAAGCAAGCATTACACCATAAAACACTGTTTACTGGAAGATAGAATGTTGTATAAAAGTATTCTTTGTTTCATTGAAAATTGATAGCCTAAGCAGTACAGTTATGCTATGATAGCATATAAATTAGCAAGCACAGCTCCCATCTGTCTCAGGATGGTCAGATGGTATTGTGTGAAAAATTCTGCAACTATGCACAGAATTGAATATATGCTAAAACAAGGTTCAAGTGCTGTATATGAAAAAGGCACTGGAGCAGCTGTGCATGACAACCAATCAGCTTCTCTCTTCAGTTTGTTCAGTTAAGATTTGTAAATCCCCCCCAATGTGTTTACATTGGAACAAAACGTATAGAGACTCTAAGCAATAAAAACCTGACAGGAGATTAAACCCTTTTCCTAGACTATACAAAAATAAAAGGCCACACGTATTGCAGGTAAATAATTGCTAAAAAAAATCTATAGATACAAAATGTGTTTAATCTAATAACCCAGATATTTATTTATGAACGCTGCAACAAAAAACAGTAGAGGTGCTACCAATCACACTGCAAGTTAGAAAATAAGGGCTAATTCCTGATTTGTTTTTGGTTATAAGGCTACACATGGACACAAATTGAATGGCACAGTATTAGGATAATAATAGTCAGATCAGGAAATAATAGTCATAATAAGTTGGACTTGATGGACTTATGTCTTTATTCAACATCAAATACTATGTAACTATGTAACTATGTAAGATCAAGAAAAGATTGTATGTCTATGAGTTACCACCAACTGTAGTTAGGTAACACCAGTGTACTAATTGATCATAGGTAATTTATCTAAGGCTCCAGCTAACTCTTCTTGCTACCCCCAAGAAGGATTTGGGCAGTTAGGCAGGTGTGCCATAGTGGAGAGAGCTTGTTAAACAGCTAGCAAACATTCCCCAGTGCGTGTAAGCCCCTTAACAGCCCTATACTCCATTATTATTATTAATTATTATTACAACTTGTATATATATAGCACCGTCAATTTACTCAGTGCTGCATCATTGTGCCAGGGTTGATTAATCATACCTTTGTGTGAAGAACAGTGATGAGTAGTCTATCTCACACATGCTTTTAATAGCCTGACTGCAGTAAAATAAATAAAAGATCATTTATCTTTGCGATTAATTATTAAGCACCTTTAACCACCAGACTCATTTACAAAAACCTGTGCAAAGAATTGCAGCTGTTTTTCAAGACAACCAACCAGAAACTCTGTTTCAATTTCCTTTTAATTTCTTTATAGTCCTGTTCCTCTGCACAAAACTAATTGTGACCACAAGGGAGTTTCGTCCCACACCTGTGTGCCACCATTGGAGGGGTCAAGCAAAACAAAACGGCTGTGCGGCTTTCACATTTTTTGCAGAAGACGTGTATGTAAACCTCTGTTTTCAACCTTAGCCAGGGCCGTCTTTAACACAGGGCAAAAGGGGCAGCTGCCCAGGGCCCAGTCATTGTTATGGGGCCCAAAGGGCAGCTGCCAAAGGTGGCTTTTGCACCTGGATAAGGGATAGGGAGCCTGCCAGGTGAGGGGACTACAGCCTGAATCAGGGCAGCATGAACAGGGGGTGTCTGATGGGGAGGCCCTGAGTGTCTGTACTGGCTGCTGCATGTGTGTATTAGGGAACACAACGTCCAGAGAGAGGGGTCACTACATGCTTTCCATGTACATATGATAGGGGGACAATAAACCTTAGTAAGGCTGCATAGACAGTCACCTGTGGGCTCCGGGAGGGGGGGATGGGAGAGAGGGGGTGAATAATGCACCTTCACCTTCACCATAATAATCCTTGCACCGGCCCCGCCCTTGAGTCCGGAAAAGATACACCTGCGCCACTCTTCTGTTTACTGTGCGATCGGTATTGCATAGTGTTGCTCCGCTCCTGCGTATGCATGGGCGAAATTGCATGGTGGGGGTGGTTAGGGGGTCGGGATAGGTAGGAATGGGGGCCTAAGATAATGTTTGCCCGGGGGCCAATCAGTATTAAAGACGGCCCTGACCTTAGCGGTGCGACAAGTTTTTTTTCATGTTGGCTTGTGAGTGTGCGGGAAAAACATTTTGCTGTTTGTTCCATTGAAGGGGTGACACCAAAATGACTGACAGTCATTTTGGTGTCTTCCCCTATGAAAAGTCGGGGACACGGTCACCGACTGAGAGCCCGACAGTGTCAGGATAGAGGAGGGGACCCGGCGGCATACCTCATCCCGCCATGTGAACATCCCCCCCTCTCTCTGCCGGCGTCCATCACCAAGATGGCCGCCCGCAGGCGTCGATAAGACGACCACACGTGCACGATGATGTCACGGAGGGGTGTCACCTGGTCTCCGCTCCTGGTGTCACCCAGCCTTGGGATGCCCCTGTTTGTGACTGTTTTTATATTCTTGGCATGCCTTAAAATACGATTTTTTCTCAATGAAAATGCAGCTTCTTGTATTCACATTGCAGTGCCCTGTGTTGGCAGAGCTGAGAAACAGCCACACCCCTCACCACAAATGTCCTCTCACAGACTTGAATTGCAGAGAAGGGAAGGGAGTGTGTTTGACTTAGTCTGTTACTAAAAGATGATTACATAGGGCACTAGGTCTAACACTGGTGGCTTTTGGACTGCATTGTCAGATTTAGACACCCTGATATAACAGTAAAGTGACAGTAAGAAGTGTAAATGGAGTTTGTTAGTACAAAGTCATGATTATCTCTTTCTGTGACTTTAATTGGCTTATAAGAAAGAAACAAAGAAATGGCTGTATGGGTAACAGTCCTGTTTGCGCCATGCTCTAGTTATTTGTTTTTATACATTTCTTTTTCAGTATTTAAATAATTGCGACATGACTAGAATTCATAGTCACAATCAGCGTAAAGGAAACTTTTAAATGTGCGTAAATACAAGAAGCTGTTCAATGCTTTACCTATTAGATCCCTGGAGAATTTTATAGGTGTGAGCGCATTTTAGAACCTCAAAGCACATATTGTTGTAAGTAAAATGTAGAGTTTGACAAACTGCAAGTAGTAAAAAGTAATCTGAGCATTAACCCACACCCATCCTGTGGTACAATGTGGTACATGATCAATCTGCTTGGCAGTTCTTTAAATCCAATGAATTTAGGACTGACGCGGCAAAACGTAGTCTCCTGCCAGACGAGTGTGTCTACATTGCTAATACAGTTTTATTTTGTCTGGCAGAATGGAAATTTGGCCGGGGATTCTTTTTTCAGTTCCCAAACCACTGCAGAGCCCTCAGCAAAGGGAAAAATGAAATCCAGAGACAAGAAACCAAAAGTCTGTTACTGACTGATAAAAAAGGAAGCTTTTAACCAGTTACGGAAGCATCCCTGTCGCTATTTGCCATCTTGCTTCACTGTCTGACCTGGGATAGTGAGTACATTTCAGCTTCCACTATATTTTTGTTATTTTATTCTACACACATAAGGTGCCCTGGGAGAAAAAATGTAATCGATAATAATTTTTTTACACCAATTTAGTAACATGGCATTTTCATCCAAAGCTCTGTCAGAAAGTTTTGGGTGTAATCCTGATATTTAATGCTCCATCATTGTAAAGAATGGGAAGCCTACAGGGAATTGAAGAAGGTCAGTAGTTCTGAACTGTTCATTTCTCCTTTTCACAGTTAAACATGGAACCTACCTACATAAGGCCACCTCGTGTGGCCAAAATTAAGTGGTTTTGGTGAACTATGAAGTTTCATTTTAAAACTTAAAATTACGTATTTAAAATGCTTACGTATGCCCCTTTCACACAGACTGATCAGGAGAGGATCTGTGCACAGATCCTCTTCTGATCACAGCAGTACAGTTTTTTCTTCATCTTGCGATACAGGAAACAACTGAAATGACTGGCCCCATGCCAGCCTATGGGGAGTCGGATGTAAACAGATATGATGTAATCCATTTACATCATACACAAATCAATGTGTCCGCATTATGGGGCACATTGATCATGGGTCATAGACATGGAGAAAAGAATTCCATGGACCTGGGAGAAGTTAGAAAGCTACCACGTGGGTTTACATGCATTGTATAAAGAGAGCACAGCAGAGCTGTGCCGTATGCCGCCCCAGTGAAAATAATGACCTTTACCTGAGAAGCAAAGCACTATGATGAGTAAAGACAGTAGGTGAAGTGTAGAAAGATTAAATAAAGTCATCTAAAAGGATTGACAACCCAGGAAAAGGGATCCCACCATCACCACACCAATAAGGGTATAATGATCTCACTATTATATGATGGTCCTGTTGGCTGGCACCTTTGTTGTTGTTTGATTTTATAATAGGGAATAGAACAAATAATATAATAACATATTTGTTCTCTTTCCTCTAGTGAGCAACTTTCAGCACTGCAGTGTCTGTGTCTTTATAACCAATGATGCGCAACTGCATCTGATGAATGCATTCCACACCTGCATGTTGCAAACAAATTGTCAGTACCAATTGGATCATGTAACCTGGGCATTGAAATTAGTCATCTGACAAAAACACATAAGAAGAAATCACATTTATTGAAAACCAGACGCCCAAATAATCAGTAGGTCCATAAATGAAGGCAGCTGAAGACATATCAAAATATTTTACATAAAGTGTGGAGCTTTGTAGCTCCCCTCTCCCATGCAAAGACTCCTTATTTGTTACTATTGGTCTACTAATGCAATGGGCAGTTTTCCTGATTGACAGGGAGGCTCGGGAAGCTGGAGGGGGGAAGTAAAGATTGGCTATCACAAGAAACTTTGGCTTATACATTTTTACTTTATATACTCAGTTTGAATCGCCCATGTTTGTGACAGGTTTGTTTTAAGTATAGTAATAAGCATTTAATTAATTTGTAACTTACCTTGTTCACAAAGAGCTCCACTGTAGCTAGGAAGGCAAATACACATGAATGAGTTTATGCCGTCAACACACGCAGCTCCATTCCGGCATGGATTTGACTGACATTCATCAATATCTGCATAAAAGAAGAGTTCAGATTAAATTTACAACCATAAAATTTAAAAAACTTATAATTTCCAGAACTAAGCATGTTAGGATTATTCATTTTAGTAGCACAAAGAGCAGTAACTCCTGGCAAACATAATTCGCTTAATCCTCAATCCTAATCACAATATTTTTTAACCAAACTGACTGGCTGATTTTTAACCAAATTGTATTAGTTGCCGTGAGTTACTTTATATTAAACATCTTATTTCTTTACTTATTTTCTCTGATTGAATAGGTAAATATGTGTCCTCCAACCTACCAATTTCACAAAGTTCTCCACTGAAACCAGGCATACAAGTGCACACATATGAAGAAGCACCACGAGCATAACATGTTCCACCCTGCTGGCATGGATTTACCTTACATGGGTCTTGAGCTGAAATTAAAAAAAAAAGGAAATGTTCCTCAGAAATACGTTAAAAAATATTGGGAGGCAGCTGCAGTTAAACCAATACATACAACAAACTCATTCACCAAAATACTTACAATAAAGAATACCAATGGCTAATTGTTCCTATGCCAAAAAATGGAAATACTCTTAGAAAATAATTTCTCCTTTTATGTTATTGCTCCATTTTCTTCTGGTGGCCAGGTGCAGCCCAAAATGTCTGTCCTCTTTAATCCCAGAAATATAAGTCATTTAAATTACAGAGATGCAAGCATTACATATCCCAGATCTGAGGGGAGTCTATAAAGTAATGAGGCCCCTTACAGGAAAATAGTCACAAATCATGAATGAATGATTATAAGAATGACCAATTTATAATTTATATTTCAACATTAACTACTAGAATTTGTGTATCGCAACGTAGTTGCATTGAAACCTAATATATAAGTATGGTGTGGGACCTATGGCAGACGATATTACAAACAGATGTAGAATTGTGCAATGGTCCCATGAATGTTTGTAAAATCAAATGTCAGTCCTTTAAACCAAGTCTGAAATGTATTTCAGTGGTGTGTTCGATGTGTGTCTGTGCCCAAGAGAGCTTGTGATAAAACATTGCAAAGGCACATACATATGATGTCATGAGTAGAAATGAATAACATCAACTGTGACATGTTATTAGTAGTACTATATAAACAAGGAGATTGAACTGTATAGGTCAATAACTACTGTGCAGTAAATATAACAGTATAATAAATTATACTAGGGTTAAAGAGTCACATGAATATGGTATATGAATGATGAACATATATGCACACATATATGCATACACATATACACACACACACACACACACACACACATATACACACACACAATGTGCCTTACTTGTTATCTGCAGCCCAGTTCCATCAACGTTATTACTAGTTGAGATCTGGATATCGACATCTGGCAGTGGTGTTATGCCCCTTGCATACTTTTCTTCTTCGCTCTCTGTTGTCAGTTCAGCAGCATAGGAGGAATCAGTTGATTCCACTTGTATAATTACAACAGGTTGAGTTTTGCCATGCTCTTTATCCGGCTCAGCATCTGTTTCAACCAGTGGTTCATCCACACTTGGGGTTTCGTCAGAAGAAGTAAGCAGTGCAGGTGCCCGTGTAGCAGTGTCACCAAGTTCTGTCTCAGTGTCATGTGTGGGTTCAAAGATCTCAGATATGTCTAAAGCCACTTCTTCTGTAGCAGCAGGCTGTAGAGTAGAGAAACCAGATCTAATATCTTCTGTTCTAAATGGAATTTGTTCTGTAACAGATATGTCTTTATCAGTGAGGTCCTGTGGGCTGTCTGTTTCATCAGATGGCTCAATGCCCGTTGGTTTGTATGTAGCAGTAATGTCAGCACTAGCTTCCTGTCCTGAAGCATGATAAGTCTCAGAGCCAGAAGAAGGTAAAGTACTTGGAATAATTTTTCCTGTATAGTCAGATGCACCGTTGACCAGAATCACAGTTACAGGAGCTCTGGGTTCTTCTGTGCTCTCCACAGCACTTTCCTGCTTGGTTTGTTCTACTATTAAAGATGTAATATCCTCATAACTTGGACTTATTGCATCTGCAGGTGAATACTCTATTTCATTTGTATCTTGTGTTACAAGTATTGGTGGCGGGGCTGATGTGCCAACAATGAGGCCTGTTTCTTTAGGTGAATATTTTGTACTAAACACCTCAGCTACAGGTATGTCTGTGGAGTCTTTGGAAAGAGAAGTTGATAATGATTGGAGATCAGGCTGCTTTGTGACAAACTTTTGTTGCAATGTAGCTGTATCCAAATGAATAGAATCTGTTGGCATAAAAACTGTACTGGAGTCTTCATCAGGAAGAATAACTTCACTTAATGGATCTTTGTCTTTCAAATCAACAATAATAGTTGATGTAAGGTACATCTCTGGTTCAATTGCTTCTTGGCCTACACTAGCCTCATCTATATCCAAGATTTTAACTGCATCAGGTGTGCCTACTGCTTCAGGCAGTTCTGTTAGTGCTATATCAGTGGCAACTGGATCACTTAAATCCCTAATCTCGGTTATAGGCACTGTTTCTGTGGACTGACCAAAAGTTATTTTCTCGGTCACATCATCATATTTAGGTACAGTTTCCCTGGGTTTACTAGCTGATACAATATCTTCTTGTGTTTGTGGCTGCTGAGATGTTATGGTGGTCTCAGAAAATATTTGCAATCCGGACCCCTCTCCTGAACCATCAACTATTTCACTGAGAGGTGTTGAAAAAATCTTTTTCAATGAAGGTGTACTAGTTGCTTCAGTTTTAAGAGGAATTACAGGTGTTACTCCAGCCAATAGATCTGAAGGCTGTATCTCTTCAGTTGCAGAAGTTGCAGATATTTTGTCAGAAACATCTTCAGTTATATCTACAAATATTCCATCTTTAAAGCTTTTGGAGGTTGTTTCTAAGGAAACTTCACTTTGTTGCGGGGTTGAGAGTTCAGTTAGAAGCAATGGTGGATTTGTCTTTGGAGCAGCTGTGCTGCAGTCAAAATATGTTTGAACTGGAACCAAAGGAGTAACTGTAGTAATTAATGGCTCATCGGTAAGCGCTTCAGCTCCAGAACTTTCTCCTGAAAATTGATCTACAATTTCTTTCTTCTCTGACATAAGTGAAGGCTGTATGGATTTATCAATATCTGCAACTTGAGAGGTGCTTGTAGAAGCAGTGAGAGGGGTACTGTCTCTGTCTTCAAGACTTGCCTTGATGTCCTCAGTGGAAACTTCTTGAGGTGCTGGTGAGATATCTGCTGATTGAGTAGTTAGTATAGCATCTACACTTGCTGTTTGACTGCTTTCTGTAGCATGCTCATCAGTCAAAAGTTCAGCTCTATCTTCTTCCCTAGTAGGCTCAGTAGTGTGCACTTCTATTACACTTGTAGTGGCAATGCTAGCAAATATATCTCCAGATCCATCCTCTGATGCTTTTTCTGTCGTTAGAATTTCTTCTTCAGGTGTAGCAAGGGTTGACTTTATTTCCTGCCTTGCCTGTGAGGTTATTGACTTTGGCTCCTCTGATATTCCTCTACTTGATTTGTCATCTAGGAAAAATTCTGTAGCAATGTATGTAGAACTAACAACTTCACTAATGGTATCATTTCCTTGCACCCAGATGCTGCTAATAGTGCTTTCTTCAATAACTTCGAAACTAGGTGTTTTACCAGTACCGAAGATGTAGTCAATTTCCTCTTCAACACTTATTGGAGAATCTGTTGCTACCTTTGTTTGCAAAACTTCTTGTCTGGAGGGTTTTGTTTTATCTGGCAGTAGCTGAGATGTACTATAGATGAAACTCACTTCTGGTTGCAGTGTTACAGGTATTTGGGTTGAGATTTTCAGCTCACTATCTGTTTCAGCCTTTTCTGTGGATGGCAGGATGGTACTAATCTGCTCTTCCTGCTGTGCTAAAACAGGAATTGTGGTGGAAGGCTCTATGTATGTTGTGTCTTCCTCTCCAGAACCTTGATCAATCAATGGCAAATCAAAGGTGGATGTTGTTGTTTTTTGTGGTGTTACATCCACTGAATGAAATGGTATACTGCTGATGTCTGTGAGTGCTGTAGGAGCCTTTGTAGCTTCTGCTTCTTCTGTTAAGGTTTCCTTTTGTGTTATGCCTCCTTCAGATTTGATGGCTGGCAGTGATACAGTAGAAATGGTGACCAGATCTCCTGAGCCCTCTTCAATCAAAGATGGCAAATCAAAGATGGATGTTGTTGTTTTTTGTGGTGTTACATCCACTGAATGAAATGGTATACTGCTGCTGTCTGTGAGTGCTGTAGGAGCCTTTGTAGCTTCTGTTTCTTCTGTTAAGGTTTCCTTTTGTGTTACGCCTCCTTCAGATTTGATGGCTGGCAGTGATACAGTAGAAATGGTGACCAGATCTCCTGAGCCCTCTTCAATAAAGAGTGATTCGCTAACAGTGAGTTTCTGAGGAAAAGCTACAGTGCTGGTCTCCAAAATGATGGCTGATTGATCCGTGGTTATGTCATCTGTTTTAGCCACTGCATCAACTGTTTCTGTTTGTATCCTTACTGGAGATTTTGTAGCTAGTGAACTGGCTATTTCTTCAATGTCTTTGACTTCAGTTTTAGGAACAGGAGTGGTGAATAATGGTTCTTTGTCTTCCTGGTCTCCCGAGCCATGATCAAAAAATGCTGATGGGGTGCTTTTTTCTTCCTCAATCTGTATTTCACTAGTCTGGGACACTGTCCTGTCATGAGATTCCTTCTCCGAAGAAGCTGTTGTAAAGTATACTTCTGATGCTGCCACAACTTTTTCTGGAGAAGTTGCAGAAAGTTCTTCTTGATCTCCGGAGCCTTCTTCTATAAATGGGAGAATTGTGCTGGTTTTCAGTTCTTCCTTAATTGTTTCTGTTTTTAAGTTCAATACTAAATCTTCAGCTGGAGAAATTGTGCTAACAATTCTAGTGGGTTCCACTTCAGTGGAAACAGTTGTAAATAACCCATCCTCATCACCTGAGCCTTGTCCTGTTAAGTATGTGTCATCAACAATTGCATCTTGAGTTGTAACTTTTGGTACTGGTTTCTTTGTGCTCAGGGAGGGTATTGGTGTTTCCGTTGCATCCATAATTTCAGGTTTAGATGCTTCAGGTTCGTCTGTACTTTCTTGAGGAAGGCTTTCCACACCAGGTTCCAATTCAGTTTTTGTTTCTTCTACACTGTCTGTTATTTCTACAGCTGGCAAAATAGTAGTAATATATATAGATTTTTGGTCAGTAGGGGATTCTGAACTGCTGACATCTGACAATGTAGATGCTTCACCTTCCTCACCTGAACCTTGCTCTAGAGATGGCAAAGCAGTGCTAAAAAATGCTTTGCTGGTATCCAAAATTGGGGGAATTGTTGTGACTTTCCTAACTTCAGGCTCACCAGTGCTGGAAATTTCTTCTGTGGAATCATGCAAAGGTGGCTTTGTGTCTTTTACAGCAACTGGAGCTGAGGTTATATACAAATGAGAAGATGACTCACTTTCAGAAGGCTTGTAAGTGACTTCTGGCTCATATTCAGTACCCGCTTCTAGAATAGGTAATGAAGTGCTTTCAGAGGTAGATACTGAAAAGCTTTCTTTTAAGACTCTGGGACTTAAAGTTTCCAGTAAGGAGGAAGCGTTTTGATAATGAGAGGTGAGTTTAGCTGCAGATGTACTAAAGACTACTATATCTTCTGGACTTTCTGAGGTCTCCTCCCCTTCTCCAGACCCCATTAAAAAGTATGACTTGTCTTTTTCAGTTGGTAATGGTGAAGTATGTTCAGAAGACACTGAAGCAGGTGGTGAAACTGCTGTTGAAATGCTTGGCTCGCTTTTACGTTCTTTCTCTGTTGTTTCCTTGTCAGGCAAGTCAGTACTAATATGTGATGGTGGAATGCTGGTTGTAATAAATAAATCAGTAAAAGTATCTTCAAGATCACCTGAACCTCGATCAATAAAACTTTGATCAAATGTAATAATTTTTTGGGTCAGAGCTTCTGATGCAATCTCTTCACTGGTTGGTTCAGTTGCATCTTTTTCTTCTTTGGTGCTGGGGTATATTATTGTTGTTGATTCTAATGTGGCAGTAAGTTTCTGTTCAATAACAACAGCCTCAATGGACTCAGTTTGGATCTCTTTCACACCATCATTAGATGGTGTGGTTGTTATATATTCAGTGACATCTTCCATACCTGAACTTTCTTCGGCTACCTGAACAGATACAGTGCTTTCTGTAAAAACTTCAGGTGATAATTCTACTTTGGAACTTAATTCATCCCGTTGTGAAGATTCTATTACCAGTTCAGTTGCTTTTGTAGAAAATACCATCAGAGTAGAAATTAGTTTACCAAAATTATCTACACCTGAGCCCTCAACCACATCTTGTTCCAGTTTTTCTGGTACTTTTGTGTACAAGCTATCTTTTTCAGTTACTTCGGTAAAAATACTACTGCTTTCTGTACCCTCTATCTCAGAAACGGATGGACTAGATGGAGAAGGTAATTCTTCTGCTTGAGGAGACTCTGTAGACACAATAGCTCCAAGTTCCACTGTTGTCAATGTTGAAGGTACCTTGCTTTCTTGAAACACATGAACAGTAGCTGTTATATTAATAATGGGCTCTGTTTCTGGCTCACCAGAACCTTCCTGAATATAAAATGCAGTTGATAGATCTACAAGCTTTAAAGGACCTGTGCTTGGTACAACTACTATTCCACTTGCATCTGTGGTAGCTGTTTTGATTACCACTTGACTTGAAACTAATTCAGCAGAATCTGTTGCTGCACTCTCTTGGGAGACCTCAATATATTTTGTGGTTGGCTCCGCACTGCTAATTACTGTAATTTCAGATTCTACATCACCAGACGATTCTATTGTAAATAAAGGAAAGTCTTTTTTCAATTGATCAGCACTGAAAAAAGATGCAGCAGGCTCTTGTGTTGTTGGCTTTTCAGTCACTAAAGATGCTTGTGTAGTTGGCAGATCCTTAATTGGTATTTGTAGATCACCACTTGATTCAGGTTCTTCTGATTCAGCAGCAGTAAGGTCTGGTTTATCTGTTGACAGTACACCTTCAGAAGCTTCACTCAGCTGAGTGACTGATACACTCACTGATGGTGTAACACTTTCAATTAGTTCCCCTTTAACCTCTTCTGCTTTTGAATCTTTTGGATCTGGAGTAATTTCTTGCTTCCCATTAATAAATTTCAAAGATGGGGAAGTCGGCACGGCAGTGGTGTTGTCACAGTCTGTTTCCTCCTCTGAAGAACTTGAAAAATAGGGCAAAACTTCTATGTTAATACCATCACCGGAAACAGATGTTTGGTTTAAACCCAATCTTTTAAGCACGTCCTCCAATGGGCCTGATAAGAAACAGATAATGATTTTAGCGTGTAAATATGTTAATAATTCATAGTACACGATTGCAATACTGACAGTGAACTATACATTTAGTTCATGTAGTTAATAAACATGACTTTTACTATGAATGAGTATGACAGACAAAGACAATGGAGCAAAGCAGACAACATTATCAAATGACAGTGAGAAGTGTCTGTTGCACCCAGTAAGATTAATGGTTCAAAACCTAGTGACAAGTTAATCATTTTTCTGTTAAGTTGCTTCTATACAGCGTTTTAAGAAGGTATTCTCATTGATAATGCCATTAAACGACCAATAATGCATCACTTTACTACTCAATCATTCAATCTTTTCCTGTTTACTTTCTAGTAGAGGCTGCATATAAAAATATAAGCAGAACATTTTTAAAGGAATAGACTAAAAAAAACTTATGGTAAGAAGACCTTGTATTGGATTTATTTTGTGAAATGGTGTTTGTGTTTTACATATATACAAAATAGTTGTGTCAGCTCAAACCAACCAATCAGAAATTAATTTTAATTTTTTTAACTATGGTAAACTAATTCTGGTTGGTGGCTATGTATTGCTGCACTCTTTGCACAGTGTTGTTAAATAAAGTCAGTAGTGTTCCTTCCCAATTTTTCAAACTGTGTGCATACAGTATATGTATATACAGTATCATAGTTTATAGGCTATACTATAAAATTATTATATATCCATCAAAATAGATGGCCTCCTTATGTAAAACCTTTGTGCACTGCAGATTACTGTTTTGACTAAAATTTAAAAATTCTAGCAATTTAAAACTATTTAAGAATATTAATTAACATTATTCTACATTCCAAATACCAGCATACAATAGTACACCTTTAGGAAACCCATACTGTACTTTCTTTGAAAATGACCTTTAAATTAAGTGACCCATTGCTGTAGTACTCTCTTTGTTTCTTTATAACATTTTAGTAACATACTGTATTTTCATAATCAGTTTTATTAACAACTAGGATTATAAGCCCGACTGCACTTAAAAAAAATAGAAATCAGTATTCCAGCAGTTCTGAAAAATAAAAGACGCTTTTTCTGCCATACGTACAGTACCTATTGTCCACCGATCTACCTCTCAGACTCACATTTCTGTCTTCCAGCTCTGGCCCTTTTGCAGCCTGAATGACACCCAGTGTCATCCAACGCACTTCCTGTGGGTCCAGGTTGTCATGGACATGCCCCTGGGACACATCATTACGCCAGCCTGTACTCACAGTACTCCTGGACAAAACATCTCTCTCCAGGAGTAAGAACTGACAACTGTCATCCGAGAAGTAGAAGGAGGTAACTGAATTAGCCAGAAGGCTGCAGGATTTAAGGCACGTCTTTAAAGCTAAAAGAAATTGTAGTGAGGGGGATTCTGTGAGGGTGAGAGGGAATAAAAATGCTTTAAAATAAAAAAAATCCCTTTTCCAATTAAAATGGAAATTCATGCAAAGAGGAATGGAGTTTGTGAATTTTATTTTCTTGCATAGCTGATTTCTT